CTCTTCCAACCTAAATTATTCTACTGTTCTGTGACTTTACAGCTCTGTGATCACTGGAGCCATTCCCAGTAACTGGCATGCAAAGGACCAGCATGCTACAGACTGGGCTCCTTGCAGTGCCAGGGCACCTAACAAAGACAACTGATTTCTCTCTTTAAAGACTGGGAATATGCCATCTACTAAAAAAAAATAAAATATGCTCTTTCCAAGACAATGTTGTCAACATACATCCCATTGCAAACATGAGTTTCCAAATCACAGCAAGAATAAAAAGGGGTTACATATTACTTTCATGGGCACTAGACAGATTTTTCAGAGTTGTAAGTGGAAGGGGAAGCTGCTTCATCTGTTTTTTTGCTGCTTGCCTGTTCAAACCAAAGCAGCCATCCTAACCTACATAGTAGAAAAGCTAAGAGTAGTCCAATGGAAATCTTAGTTCTTCCAGTACTGGCATCAAATGACTAGGCTTCTTCCACTGTGGGAACTTCCTTTGTCCTGCAAGAGAAAAGAAAAGATTCAGGAAAAAAGGATAGATAAATGGAAATCATATTTCTTTCTACCTGCTGTGGGCATAACAAAACCATTCCTACATCCCAGCTGAGGCTAGAACTGCACTTCCTTCCAAAACTCAGAAGGGAAAAATGGTAACATGTGAAATAGAGCACTTTGAGAAGACTCACACCAGGTAAAATTCTGCATATATGTGATAAGGGACACTTGACAATTTTTTATTTTAAAAAACCTTCCTTTTTTTAAAGGACAAAACACTGTCTAACTTGGAGACTAGCAATTGGATATGAAGCTTTTTACATTTCAGTTGCTAAATGAAATCTAGTCACATTGTAAACTGACAGCATGAGTTGTCAACAATAGCTGTTCACTGACCATATAATGCGTGTTTAGTTCTCAGGAGTCCCAACAAGCAAGCCATCCTCTTCCACTTAGCCTGGAGGATCACACATGTCCCACCACTACACCCACCGATGACCTTAAAGGCTATTTTGTGTAGCTTTAGGCATCTTACCTGGATGCTTTCCCATATACACTTTCTTAAAAATACTCCCAAGATACTACAGAAATTAAATGTTGGAGATTAATAACAGGCGAATCATGCACATGTTAAAAGAAAGCAGAAGTAAACCAGTAGTGGAGAGGCCTGCAGGGGGATACTCAGTACTGCTGCCCACTCTGGCAGTGCTCTTTACCTGGCAGTACCAGAACAGCTATTCTAACCCCAACACATAGAGCCCCAAATGGCTTTAGGTTGGGAAAGGAATGAGAGGGTGTAACGTGTAACCTGGTGTGGGACATGATAGGCGACCTATTTTATTTGACTGCCGACTTTGCCCCTGAGCACACTGTAGCCATGCAACGCATGTCTGAAGGCAGGGACCTGCAGCCTCTTCATAACCAAGCTGCACAGAGCACTCAGTGCTCCTTGCCCTCAGAAAGGTAACGGGCTGCGGAAAGCAACAAACATTCACTCTCATTCCCTAAAAAAAAAAAACAAACTACCTCTTCCTTGAGATGGGAAAGCAAAAAGGCAGCTGACTCACCGAGCGTGGCCCAGCACCGTTTTTGTGCTTCTTGTCCTGAGGACCTGGGGTAACTTCTAATGAGCGATAACTGGGGGGCTTGTCTTCTGGCCATTCCCGAGAGCGCTGCCGCCGCTTGCGGTTGGTCGCTGGGAGACGGACTTGCTCTTCCGGGGAGCTCCATGACCCCCGGCGAGAAGGGGGAGAGTAGCTGTTCCGCCTCTGACCTGAGTTATTGCTCCTCCCAGCGTGGTGCTGGTAGTCTCGCCTCCCTGTGGGCTCCTGTCTCCAGCCATGGTGGTGGTTGGAGCGCTCCTTAGCCTCCCCCGGATAGAAGCTGCTGCTGCTGCTGTTCCTCTCAGCCTGGCGCGGGGGTGAAACATCCCGTCTGGGGTGCTGGGCCCTGCCATTGTAGCCACCTGTCCTCTGCCTCGGAGGACGGTCCTCATGCTGCCTGTCCCAGGCCTCCCGACTGTAGCTGGAATGGGAATCGCCGCTGGAAGGCAAGGGCAACCTCCGGTCTTCCCTCCTGTCATCTGCTGCAGAGTCCCAGGCTCTGGGATTGTGGGCAGCTCTCTGCGGATGTGAGGAGCTGCTGCTCCAATGAATGGAGGAGGCATGATCAGCATCATGAAGTGGCATTATCTCAGAGCCCAAGGAGGACAGCAAGCTGGGCTGCACCTCCTGCCGCTGGTGGGAGGGTGGCCGGAGCTGTGACGTCTTAAGGTTTTGGATTTCAGACTCCAGATAGTCCAAAACACCCTTGTTATGGGAAAGCTGACCTTGTGGCTGCACCAGTGGAAGACTGTTTTGCAGAGACACATCTAAGGAGAAAAGCACAGGATAACACAGGAAGTTAAGGGGAAATGGTAAAGAGAGGGTCCTTCTGCATTGATGATCCTGGCTGAGTCCCTTTTGAGCCTTTCTTCTCCTGCTCCTCCTCACTGCAAGACCTGTGTGAGTCTGAAGGACCACAGCCAGCACATCCAGACCACACAAGGTAAGGTGCAAAGAGTAGTAACTAGTAAGTTGCAGCATGATCTGTGTTTTGGGCACCACAGAGGTCAGAGCCACCCAGGACACTTGGAAATATAGTTTATGTATTTATAAAGTAGGATTTTTTTTTTCCCTACAGCATCGATACAAAATTTTATTTAAAAAAATAATCAGAGAAAGTTCATAGTGTTTCCTCTTATATCTCATTTAACTGGAAAAAATATGAACCAACAGTTGAGACTCAGACAGAGTCAATCTGTGACTGCTATATAGTCATGATGAAAACCTAATTTCAGGTTAATAATACGTTATATTTATGTGAAAAGTCATTATGTTGAATTTCCCTGTTTTTGTTGGGTGATTAAATAATATTACTGGCAGTAAGGTATTTTACTACTTATCTCTCTAGGACTTCAGAGACTCCATCTTCTCTCCTCCATTAAAATTACAAATAATTACCACTAATAGAAGGGATCTGTGGGCAGAACAACTGGCAAATTCTTCCTGGTTCATCAAGAGTCCTTAATTTTCTGCTGCATGCAGGCTAGATCTATTGCACAGAAGGCAGTTTGCCTTTAATCATTTGAAGACTAGACATTTGATAAGAACTCAAACAAATTGCAGCTCACTTGTCATGTCGATTTTGGCTATAAGGAGTTGACCGTGACCAGCACAGCAGAACAAAGAGACAGTACCCTCCTCTACCACATGAAGTGAGATAAGCTGGGTATATTTACCCTGCAGTCACTGGGGTGTAGCACAGATATACCTTGGTTGGCATGAAATTACTTCACCCAGCACTGAGCCTAACAAGACACCTAAGATGGAGAGGCTGTATTTATTCACCAGGCAAGTCTGCAGCAGAGCTGTCATGCTAGGAACATCTTTCTCTCTTTTGGAGTAGAAAGGCTAAAACCTCTTTGCTGAACCTTCCTGATAACTTAACAGCTTCTCATCCTGATTTCCCTCTGAAATTATGCCCATGGTCTCACCTTGTTGCAGAAGAGGGTTCAGCTGGTAAGAAGAAAGTTGCGAGGTCCTGTCTCCACCTCTGTAGAACATGTTGTGTGACATCCAAGGTGCAAGGGCCTGAGCCTGCTTCATGAACTGATGCCGTCGCAAAACTGTAAAAGGAGAAGAAGAAAGCTTACAGGAGCTATCCTGAGAGCACAGCTTGCAGACCACACACCATTTTACTTGATAGACTGTAGCCTTTGGATGTGACCAGATAAAGGAAATTCATAGAATGAACAGCTGTCTCCACCCTATGACAATGTAGTTTGGAGCACAGGAAAGCCCAATACAGAGTTGTACATCTTCAAAAAGATACCTAAACCAGAATGAAACTGTTACTGCCTGACATTCAGGGTACAGTTCCAACAACTCAAACAAGTGGCACTATGATTAAGTACACAGCACATAACCAAATGCAAGACACCAACCTACCCTGTCCTTATGAATACTATAGCAGAAAGGTGGGAAATAATGCTTCTTACAGCAATACAGTGGTTTTCTCTCTCTTAAAACTCTTTAAGCTCATTATTGGTCCTTTCCCCTTTTGGCTTTAATTTATAGCTAAATGAGACCATTGATTTTTGCCACCTTCATGTAGGCTCTGTCCAGATCATCTTTTTCACACCACACTACATAATTTCCTCTGTGGTCTATGAATAGGGCACTGAGAGGTGCACTGTCCAGTTTCTCCTTTTCTAGTCTTTCAATCACTCTTTTTGTCTCTCTCTATAATTTACCCCAGCATGGCTCCTAAAATTAAATCCCTTAGGACAGTGTGGCCAAACTGGTGAACAAACTAAATTTCCAGTTCTTAACAGCAATGTCCAGTGTGCCAATAGAGCAAAGTCTGTGCAAATTCTCTCCCTCGCTGTTTTTTCACCACTGCTAACTCTAAACACCTACTCGTGGGGCCAAGCTCCAATTCTACTTCACTTTTTTCAGTGCTTCCATCTCATTTCCTCTACACAGACAACCTCACCATCCCTGTCTTCAAAACCTTTCCTCATTGCTGCTTCTTTTTTTTGGAATACCTAGAAACATCTTACAGACACTTACTCCTTCTACCACAGACAAATAAAACTTAAGTTTAGGAGCAAGTAAATTCTGCAAGTCCCAGATCTTATAAAGTCTAATTCTGTGTGGGTTGTCCTTCATTACTGAATGAAGCTTTTCTGCAACAGGGCCTTTGCAAAATGTCTCTTCTATGGCTTTTCTAGAGCTGAAACTCTTTATGGAGTTTCAGAAGTGGCAGGCTTTTACTGCAGCATCTTCTCTGGTCAGGCATGAACAGAAAATTCCTGGCTATACAGTTCAGGAGCCATATAGGAACATAACTGCCTTTGAAACTTTTACGCCTCTGATAAATCTGGCTGAAGTTAGCTGATGAAATTACCCCCAGTCTCTTTCACTCCAATAGCTTTTAGAATGACAGGTTGACTGCATAAACCTTGCTTCTATAAGAACCCAGGCTACATATAAGCTCCAATCAATTTTGTCCCCTGGGTGCATTTCCAGCAGGCAGCATTTAGAATGCAAGCTCTTTGGGACTGAGCTCTCCATTTCAGGTAGCACTCTAGTTATTAAACACATCCTCCTTTCACTGAATTGACAGAGAGCACCACTTGCAGCAAAACAGGAACTGACCATATCTCTCAACACATCCTTCCCTTTCGCTACAGTTCATGCAGCTCCACTCCACTCTCCACTCTGAACTCCCTCCCTCTCCCCAGCCTGGCTCCAACCAGAGTGAACTACAAAGCAGTAAACTCCAGGATTTTTCATCCTAATACTGTGATTTTTCTTCAAACCTGTTGTGGCCTGAGGTAGCACCTTTCATGCACTTTATGTCAAATGTGCTTTGTTATTATTTTTTTCTTCTGTCCCCAAGTGATTTTCCTCCAGTTTAGGTTTCAAATTCAGAGGAAGAGAGAAGGAGAAAACAAAAAAGGATAAAAAGAATGGAAAAAAAGGGAAGGGACTTAGCTCTTCCTGTCCCGTTCCTCCAGTTGATCATCTTGAGAATGTCCTAGAACCTGCTGAATGCACATCCCTGGGTTTTGACCACAGTCTTTTCCTGAGGAGTGGAAGGCCCAGAAGCTGGGGCCATACCTACTTAGGGTTGTCCTCCTTATGGTATGAAGGCAGTCACTAGGACCAAAGTCATCCTGTCCCTGTAATTTTGTGATCTCTCCCTACAGCTGAACAAATGCAGAATTACCCTTGACTTCCTTCATCCTCTCTTCCTTCCCCAGATACTTTGCCTTCCAGTTTGAACCTGATATACACTCTGGTTCCCCACCTGCAAAATGGAAGTGAAGTTACAGATCTCTTTTTAAAGTGAACATTTTTACCCAAGGTAGGTCAGATTCACCCAAATTCCAAAACTTACATCTGCTATAAAATTTTGGCAGAATCTTGTATTGTTCCCTGCACTTACATCCTGCTGAGAAAGGTTGTTCTTCACCTTTGACATACTTTACAGTTACAGCTGCTG